GTGCAGAAGCTTTTTAGTTTGATGTAGTCCCATTTGTTTATTTTTTCTATTGTTTCTCTTGCCCGGTCAGATGTGGTGTTTGAAAAGATGTTGCTAAGACTGATGTCGAAGAGCGTACTGCCTATGAAATACCTCAAATAGTCAAACTCAGAAGCAGGGAGTAGAATGATGGTTCCCAGGACCTGGGGAGGGGGAAATGGGGAGTTGTTAATAAGTATAAAGTGTCAGTTATGCATGATGAATAAGTTCTAGAGATCTGCTGTGCAACATTGTGACTGTAGTTAACAATACTGTATTGTACTCTTAAAAATCTGTTAATTGGGGAGATCTCATGTGTGTTCTTACTGCAATAAAAAAAAATTTTTAAATGTTGGCGATAAAACATTTCTTATGAGTGTCTGGTCAATAACAATCACATGATGTTCTCGGTTATAAAATGCATATTGATTTCAGATATGTTAAAATCAGATATGTTAAAATGGGAAACATTGCATCCTCGAATCACTAAAATATGGTGATTTCACTATAATCTGTATTGGATATCATCATTTAATGTTTTTCCCTAGCCTTGAGGTATAAAATGCCATCCATATCAATTTTAACTTTCATTTTTATTATTAATGAAATTGAATATTTTTAAGTATAGAAGTATTATTTTAGCCACTGTTAAGATCTTCAAGATTAAAATTAAAGGTGAGATTGTTGTTTCTCATTGTATTCAAGTTTACCGAGTTTTTCTTCAAAGAGAGACCATTTAATGTAATGTAGATGTTATTTGATTTTTTTTTTTTTTTTGGTGAGGAAGTTTTGCCCTGAGCTGACATCTGTTGCCAATCCTCCTCTTTTTGCTGAGGGAGACTGGCCCTGGGCTAACATCCATGCCCATCATCCTCTACTTTATGTGGGACGCTGCCACAGCATGGCTTGATAAGCGGCACGTAGGTCCGCTCCCGGGATCTGAACCCACGAACCCCTGGCCGCTGAAGCAGAGTGTGTGAACCTAACCACTACGCCACCAGGCTGGCCCCGTTACTTGATTTTTCTTTTTTTAAATGTGGTTGAAGAAGTACTGCTCCCTGGAACTGGCATTTATGAGATGTTAAACTGTCATCCTTGAATTTGTACATTAGAATCACCAGAGCCTGTTCAAATGTAGCTTCCTGGCCCTGTTGCAGAGTTTGAGTAATTTAGTGTGGAGTGAAGTACAAGAATTTGTATTCATTCATAACAAGCATCCTAGGTGATTACCATGCTTGTGGACCACACTGAGAAGCTGTGGAAGGTTGAGGTGGTTAGAGCTACAGATTTTCTGAGAACCTCTTTGGTAATGCTGGCTGAAAATTTATAGGAGTAGAATACTTGATAAGAAAGCCACGGAAACTTGTTAATAAACTCCTTTAAATGTTAGGAAGTAAGGAATTTCAGTTTATTAAATGTGAAGCCTTCAGCATATCTAGGTTCTTCAGCCGGAGAATTACATGGTAAGTCAGGATTGTTGAATGTGTCATATGTAATTCTATCTTCTATAACAATGTGAAAAAAGAAAAATGAGGATTTTTGTTGAGGTTTTTTTTTTTTTTTTTACTGGTAATTGCTTCGTTTTAAGGCTTTCTCAGCACCTTCTATCTCTAGAGTAAACAGAGATTAGGCTAAAAGAGGGTTTGATTTAATTAAGCAGGATGTAAGCTCCATGAAGGAGATGGTGTTCGTTATTATATTCATAGTCTCTAAAACTGTGCTTGGCACACGATAGACATTCAGTAATATTTGTTGAATGTATGAATATGCAGAACAGTTTACGTATAAAGTACTCTTCAGGGAATAAGAGTTTGCTTTGAGTTACTTACAATTGCCTAACAGAAGTTGTTGCAGTTAATCTTATGTAGACTTTATATTAAACCTACTATGAATTTTTAATTGAGATTCATTTATTGTTAGAATTGTGGGAACAATTATTAAATCATTTAGATTCTTTCCATGTAAATTACATTTTAAATTTATAGTTGGTGTTATGAATAGAGCTCTTGCATTAAAAGCATTTTTATTTTCCTTTTAGGAGTTAATGGGGCAGTTTCATCAAGTTGAATCTCAACTGAATAAGCTAAATCATCTTCTTACTGATATTCTTACTGATGTGAAAACAAAAAGAAAACTTTTGGCATCTAATAAACTGCATCAAATGGAAAGAGAATTATATGTTTATTTTTTAAAAGATGAAGATTACCTGAAAGATATCGTGGAAAATTTAGAAAACCAATCAAATATTAAGCCTGTTGGTCTCCAAGATTGAAAATTACTAAAAACTGAATCTTTACTACATATGCTATATTTTAATGTTTTATGTATGAAGAGGAGAATATAGCTAATAAACATTACTAAAATTTTAAGTTTGAGGTCAATGGAGCATTTCATTTAATGAATTCAAGTATTATATCAATTTGTTTTTTTCCTTATGTAACACGTTTGTTGAAAGTACTAGTGCTTTTTATGACTTGAACATTTGCTTGGTGGTACTTAATCCTGGTAACTTCTTATAGGGAAAGAGCATTATTATATAATGCAGATATTTTTAATAAAGTTAGTTATATCTCTCTTTTACTATTTTTTTAGAAGCAAATTTTCTACTGTTAAATATTTTAAAAATTTGTAGAACTTTGAATCAATATGTTAATATATGGAATAGCCAAGTCCTGTCACTTGACTAAAGTAAAATTCTGCCACTCAAACGATTCCTCCATAATTCCCTGCTATAGACTTCGAGACTCTTTTAATGTTCCTACTTACGCGACAAAGAATGTCGAGTCTCCACTGGCTATTGTTCATTTTAGAAGCTGGGTCCTTGGGACTCAAAATTTCTGCAAAACAGATCTCAGCATGCTTTGACTTCAGTGTGACTCATACATCATGAATGGCTTTCAAATGAAATTTCAAAATTCCGTAGAAATCGTTGCTCAAAGGATTTATAATGCTATTTTAATCAGTTTCTTTGGAGTGAAAATACTTAAATGTTGGATTGTATTAGTTGGGATACAAGTGTAGTATTTGGATAATTAGATTATTTTAAGACTTGGTATAAAATAGTTTGAAGTAGCTTATTTCTCGGTTATTTACATCGCATGTTTTTGAGTGCCTGACTTATATGTGACCTGTGTTACATACCATGTAAGCTTTATAGAGAAAAAAGAAGATATAGATATTACCTTCAAGAATATTCCTGCTCCAAGAATATGGAGTTCCAGTCTAAAAACCTATTCATTTTAGGTGGTCTTTATGGAATTTTTTAGCTGTAACCATCTCTTAGGTGGCAGATGAGCCCTGATAATTTTTGTAATCCATTGAACAAAAATGTTTTGTCAATTATTGTATTTGTACATTGTTTAAAAATGTTTATTAAGTAGATCTTAATATGCTTGAAAAATTTGTAGCTAGCAATAAATTTTGTCTAGGATTTTGATTTTAGCTCCTCATGGGTGACTTTTTGTTCCTTTTTTTTTCCTATTCTATCTTGGAATAGAGAATTTACTTAAAATTTTTCTTTTCTCCAGTAATGTGGAAAAATATGTCACCTTGTTTCCTGGCTAATGGAACTGCTAATTCTGTTTACATTAGTGCCAAGTATATTAGATGTATGACCAGCTACTTGATTTGTACTGTCTGTTCCAAACCTTTACCCACTCAGCCCAGGGGTCAGTATAGCTGAGTAGTATGAGTGACAGGATGTCAGGTTGTGTGTCTGTCATAATTACCCAAGTCAGTTAAACATTTTTATGTTATTAGATTTGTATATTTGAAGATTATATTTGTTTCAAACCTCAGGAAGTATTTGAGTAGGTTGCTTGCAGAATTGGTTAACTAGAAATAGAAAATATGTTCTTTACTTTGTTACCTGTTTACTATAATACGCCAACTGAGCCTCTAACTGTTTTTGCTTTCTTTTTACTATCTTATCTGTATTATGGGGACAGTTGATACCTATTTCCTGTGGTGGTTAGTATAGTAATTTTTACACAAGTCTCAGTACATAAAATTTTTCAAATAACTTAATTGTTTCTTATTTTGAAGTATCAAAATTAATATATGGGTGTTATGTTTGTCTTATGTTTAGGATTTTATGAAAATGGAAAATTATGAGGCATTTGTAGGCTTTGATCTCTGTAAGACACCACTCTCCAGTGTTGCTCAGAAGATTATGTCTGCTATGCATTCAGGTGATTTAGTGGAGTCTAAGAATTGGAGAGAGAGTGAAAAGAGTGAGTAATTTTTGTGAACCTTTCTATCTTTTGTTACCTTGAATGTTAATTATTCTTGAGACTAAGATTTGAAAAGGAAATGTAGCAAAATTATTCTATGGAACTTTATATTGTGTAGGGAAGTTTCTGCCTATGAACAAATGGAGCCCAGCTTCCCCTCACTTTACCTCATTCAGTAATGACTGAGTGTCTGCTCACCACATTTTGTATTCTCTTAACCCTTACTGCTTTAAAAATGTAGCACTCTCTTCTTGTTCCAGGCATTTCTGTCATACATTCCCTTAGAATCTGGATAAGCTATTTAACCTCAAAAGAGATGGGCTTTTTCACAGTGCCTCTTGCTTCAACGTTAGCTCTTGGGTCATTGAACCTGGACATAGCATTTGCTTATTGTGTGTGGTAGACAAGAGAGGTATTTTTGACAATATGTCTGTTTTACTGCTATAGAAATGTATGAATGCTTAGGTGGCAAAGATCAGTGGATCTGTGTATATATGTTTGTGATGTGGTCTAATAGTAGAAGCAGTGACATATGCTCACAAATGTGACTGAAGTCTGTGAAACACCAATTTTTTTTTTTTGTCTAGCAAGGCAGTTTTTATTTTAAATTTGTAGGTCTGAGCCAATAGTTTGTTGTTTGTTTCTTTTCTATAGAGTAAGTTATAAGTGAGTGAGATATAATTGAGTAATTATATTGAGTTGAAATAATTGAGAGTATTGACAAATTGTGCAAAAGCTATTATAAATGCAGTTTCCTGATTAAGAGATAGTAGCATTTATTACAAAAGTCACTAATGAACTGGTAAGAATTTTTGGATGTGAATCACATACTTAGCAATTGATAGTATTTTAGGGGGAATGGTGGTGGAGGGGGAATAGTAAAGAAAGATAAATATTTAAACATCAGAGAGCTTTTTCTTTTATTCTGTATACTTGCTTTCTAAAATAAAAGAGTAGTGTGCACTTGACAGAGGTGGAAACGTACTTCCCTTCAAAAACTGATAAGAATAATGAAATGCTTCTGGTAGTTACTTATGGCAGTCAGCCCATCTCGTGAACTCTCTTGTCATGCTCCTAAATACCCTGTTAAAAGCCTAGTTTTCTTAAATTTATTGAGAAGATAATGGAAAAAGATGAGGTATTACTTTTCTGTCACGTGTTCTTGGATTTGGAAAAGTAGGGGAATTTTTGTAAGAATTCTGTATTATCTGTTGCTGCATAACACTATTACTACAAACTTAGTGACTTTACACACATTTGTTATCTTACAGTTTCTGTGGCTCGGGAGCCCAGGCACAGCTTAGCTGGGTCCTATGCAGGGCTGCAGTGTAGGCGTTAGGGCTGAAATCTCATCTGAGGCTGGAATGGGGAAGTATTCACTTCCAAGCTCACATCGTTGTTGGCAGAATGCAGTTCCTTGTAGGCTCTTGGACTGAAGGCCTCAGTTTCTCGCTGGCTGTTGGCTAGAAGCCACCCTCAGTTCCTTTCCTTATAGTTCTCTCCATAGGCAGCTTGCTTTTTCAAAGCCAGCAAGAGAGTGTGCTTAGCAAGACTGACATTACAGTAATTTCACCTTTGCTGTATTCCCTTGGTTAGAAGTGAGTCACTAAGTCCCACCCACAGTCAAGGGGAAGGAGTTACACAGGGTGTGAATGCTAGGAGGTGGGGTCATGGGACCACCTTAGAGTTTGTCTACCACAGAGTCCTACCTGTTTTATTCTTATTTCATATGAATCTGAATTAAAGTTGGATTGTTGGTGGATTATTGATGAATGATGCTGGACCTAAGACCTAATTGATCCCTGGACTCTTATCATATGCTGAGCTGTTATTGTGTCAAATTCCTATTTCTTATAAGTAAAATATTATAAATCAGTGTTTCATTTCTGAAAGCCCTTTTCATACCATCTATCAAAATTGAGCTCAGATATCAATGGAAATAAACTACCAATATTTGCTTTTACAAACACTTATTAAGTAAAATCAAACACTGTTAATGTTGTATGTCACTTTGGGGTCTAATTTTCTGATCTGCTAGACTGACTGAGGTATCTCAAGATAGACATCCAGTAAGGATTGAACTATGTATATATTCGTGCAGCAAGATAAATATTTATTTAAAAACTCTTTGCTTGAAAAAACAAAAGATGCAAAAACTTAAAATACAGCTTAATGAGTTAATATAAAGAGGACTTCTATGTAACTACCGCTTACATTGCCAACACCTCAAAATTTCCTTCTCAATTAAAGCCCTCTCACTGCTCAGAGGTAACCATTATCCTGACTTTTATGTCAGCCACTTCACACTTTCTAATCATAGGTGTTTTATATTGCTCCAAAGGCCTTTTTGTCAGAGATTACTTGTCCGCCACACCAGAGTCTGTCCTTCCCTTCTGAGGCGCACGATCAGACTACATGGCTCAGTCTCTTTGCGGTTAGGTGTAACCAAGTGGCAGGTTCCTGTCAGTGAGATGTGTGGTCAGGTGGTGTGCACCGTTTCCAGGGTAGGCCCAAAGACATCTGACTTGCTTCATAGTTGGCCTCTTTCCTTCCCTCCAATTGGAACCTGAAACGACTCCTTTCCAACCCTGCAAATGATAACAGTGTCCTAGAGGATTGTGGAACACCATACTGGAAGGAATCTGGGTCCGGGAATGACTTTATGAAACAACTGCATCACCAGCTGGGACCACTCACCTTAGAACATGAGAGAGAAATAAACTTACTTTTTATTCTTTAAGCCACTGTATTGTTTGGTCTTTTATGTCTGTAGCTTAGGCTTTTACCTTAACTCATGCACCTTTAAACTAGATTCAGAGTTGGGTTCATCTGACTTAACTGGTGCCATGTATAGGATTATGCATATGATTAAGCACATGTTTATTAGAATATATCTCTATGTTTTGTCTAAGTACCTATAGAAGTCAAATAACATTTCCTAGTACACATTTATCCAAATTCTTTTTTGTTTTAACTTGTCTAATAGAGCTTAGCGGTGAATATAGTGTTTTCCAGTAAAATAAAAATATTTTTACAGACATTACAAATTAATACAAGTTTGAGACCCTTAAAGGTAAAATATTTGTCAAAATCCAGTTCATTAATGTGGAAATCTTTGCGATTTCAAGGACAGGTAATAAAAACTAAATGGCAAAATGGATCTATTCTGATTATATTCATTCTAGTCAAGAATATATGGATGGGGGGCCGGCCCGGTGGCGCAAGCGGTTAAGTGCGCGCGCTCCGCTGCGGCTGCCCGGGGTTCACTGGTTCGGATCCCGGGCGCGCACCGACGCACTGCTTGGCAAGCCATGGTGTGGCGGCGTCCCATGTAAAGTGGAGGAAGATGGGCACAGGTGTTAGCCCAGGGCCGCCTTCCTCAGCAAAAAAAGAGGAGGATTGGCGGATGTTAGCACAGGGCTGATCTCCTCACAAAAAAAAAAAAAAAAGAATATATGGATGGGGGCTGGCCCCGTGGCATAGTGTTAAGTGTGCATGCTCCACTCCGCTGCTGGCCACCCGGGTTCGGATCCGGGGCACGCACCGATGAACCGCTTGTCAGGCCATGCTGTGGCGGCGTCCCATATAAAGTGGAGGAATATGGGTATGGATGTTAGCCCAGGGCCAGTCTTCCTCAGCAAAAAGAGGAGGATTGGCATGGATATTAGCTCAGAGCTGATCTTCCTCACAAAAATAAAAAAAGAATATATGGATAAACATTTTGTATTATTTTTATTTCTGTCAAATAAACAAAATCCTCATGTCCAGTCACTTAGCAAACTCTGCCAGGTGTTAGATTTCCATTCCCACTGCCCTGATTCAGCCCTTCATCGCTTCTCACTTGGATTTTTGCAGTAGTCTGTTGTTTGCCTTCAGTTTATTGCCACTTTGGGCTTGCCTTTGCACCATTGCTAGAAGTAGCTCAGCTCTTGTCCTTGCTCTCTGCAGAACTGATCTACAGAAACATTCCCATGTATTCCTACAGAGTGACGTGGCCCTTGCCTGCCCTTTTTAGTCTTATGTCCTACCACATTCTCTTTCTTACTTCATGCCCCATTCAGATTTGACTGTAATTTCCAAACGTGGAACATTTTCCAACTTCATCCTCTACTTACTCTCTTCTTTCTCTCCTTCACTCAGCTCTGAGTGGTGAAATCAGCATTTTACAAGGCTCTGCTCAAATGCAGTGATACTTCTTCCATTACCAGAATGCCTTGTTGCAAGTAAACTGCATTTGGTTCATTTACAACTCTGCTTAGAGAACTTACTGTGAAGTAGTTTTTGGTTATTTGTATAATGCTTGAACTCTTGTTATGGTTTGAGCTCTTTGAAGGCAGGATAAGGTGTTCTCATCTGTGAATGCTCCCATAGGTGGGCTATCTGTGAATTCAACTCTTACTGATTTGCAAGAGCTTTCTACAAACATATACATATATGAAGGGTTTTACTGTTTTTTTTTTTTTTTTTTAATATATGTTGTAAATATTTTCCTCAACATTTTTGGGGGGTCTTTTTTTGTTTGTAATACTTTAGAAAAAGTCGTCTTTTTTTAAACCAAAAACATAAAGTCCATAATCACACATTAAAAAAATTTTTACACACACACACGGTGAAAGGGTTCAGATATACATTGTTTTCTTAGTTCAGTCTTTTTTTTCTTGGTTGAACCCTCTCCCCTTATTGCTAACCCACGTTAACAACTTAGTATGTGCCTTTTATATTTTTGTCCATTTGTTTCCGTGATTATATTTCCACAATTATAATTATAGCTTGCTTGTGTGTGCGTGCGCACTGTGGCTGTGCTGTGCCATCCAGATGGTACTGCCTGAGGCCTTTATTGCAACTGTATCACATTTGAGCTGTTCCCTGACTCAGTCCTGCTTCCCAAGAGCATCCCCAGTAAATTTCCTGCAGGCAAAGCCCAGTCTGGTTACTAGGGCACCTGAGCTGCTACAATTGGTGCCAGAGTAGTCTGAGAAGGCAGACATGGCATTTTGGAG